GTGATGATGCCCACAGGCTCAAAGTCTGCGCCAGGCAGGCAGGCAGGCAGGCAGGCAGGCAGTGGGGCGGATCGCGTCGGCAAGCAGCCCAGGCAGCCTGCCGGCACCACGCACGCACAGGCAGACAGACACACAGAGGGGGGGATCCGATGTGCCGGCATGCTGAGCCAAGCCCACAGCCCCACCCACCCGCCCACTCACCCGCCGAGTCGAAGATGAAGTCCTCAGGCTGCGCGGTGGGCCTGGGAGACAGCAGCCCCTGCTCCTCGTCGGCAGACTGCGGGCAGGCAGGCAAAGGCGCCAGGCGAGGCACATCGCGGCAGGGCAGCAGCAGCAGGCGGCCCGCCGCACGCTGCGAGCGTGCGCCAGTGCGCCTCGGCTGGCTGCTCCTCCATGTGCGCCGCACACACACACACACACACACCTCCAGGCTGGGGTCGTCGCTCATGGAGTCGATGTTGTGCATCAGCTCCGCCTCGCTGCGTGGGGCAGGCAGGGGGGGAGGTATGGGGGCAGACGTGACGGACAATGGGGGCTTCGAGCATGGCAGGGAGGCCCCAGCTTGTGTATGGACCCATATGATGTGTGTGTGTAAAGCCGAGCGGCAAGCATGGGCAGGGGATGGGCGGCAGGCGCCAACTGCACGCCGGGCAGGCAGGCAGGCAGGCGGGGACAGGCCCACCTCTCCTGCTTGCGCCGCTCCGCCGCCTTCTTCTTCAGCTGCATCAGCACCGCCATGTGGCTGCGCCCAATCTCAAACAGCTTGAGCATGTCGTACAGCGGGGTGTCTGCGGTACGGGGTGGCGGTGGGGGCGGTACGGTTCAGGGCGGTACGGTGGGTGGGGTGCAGTACAGGAGGGTGGCGAGGAGGGTGACGTGGCGCTCGCCGCCGCCCGCCGCCGCGCTCGCCGCCGCCCGCTCACCCGCGCGCACTGAGGGAATGGATCGCACTTTCTGGCGCCCCACCGTCTTGCCCTGGCTCCTGTCCACCAGCAGCAGCTCCTTGACCAGCATGATGCCCAGGATGGCGCGGCGGTCGCCGGGGCGGTGCACAGGGATGCGGCTGTGGCCTGCGGGGAGGGGCGGGGAGGCGCACGGGAGAGGCGGGGGCCCAGGCGTGTGTCCAGGAAGCGACGCGTGGAGCGCAGCACAGCAGCGTGCGCCACAGCGCAGCAGTCGGGGCATGTTGCCGCCATACGACACAGACCTAGCGCACGTGCCACCACCCCACCCAAACCCACACCACCCCACCACCACACCCCATCACAACCCGCCACCACACCCGAGGCCATGATGGCGGTCAGCGTGGCCTCATCCAGCACGTCGTCGGCGGGCAGCATGAAGACCATGTCGATGGGGGTCATCGCGTCGCGCGCCGTCTTGTGCGTCATGTCCAGCGCGCCCTTGATGATGCTCACCTCGTCTGGGGGGGGCAAGGGGGAGGGAGTGCGTGTGTGTGTGTGTGTCGGGTGGGGGTGGGGGAAGCGAGGAGGAGGGCAGCTGCGGACACGCGGAGCGGCGGTGGCAGACCGCCGGCGGGTGTCGGGGCGTGGCCGGGACCTGGCACCCGGCAAGCCGCGCCGCCGTGCGTCCGTGCTGTCTTGTGTGCTTGCCTGCCGACAGGTGCCCCCCAAACTCCTGCCCCTCCCTGTGGATGTCCATCAGAGCCTTGAGCTCGGCACGCCTGCAGGGGCACGGGTGTTGGGGCGGGCAGCGGAGCGGCGCTGGAGCGGCGGCACCAGCGCGGCACCTGCGGAAAGGTGGGCCGATTGGCCGTGCGAGGGTGGTGCGGCGGCAGCCTTTTCAACGCAAGGCAGCCCGCATGCCCACCCGCCCAAACCACCCACCACCACCACCATCACCACCACCGTCGCCACTGCCGCCTTCACCACCCACCTGAACAGCGCGGTGTGCCTGTGCCCCAGCACCTGGTCCAGCACCCAGCCGATGGGGTAGGAGATGGGGGCGGTGAGCATCATGAGCAGGCGCACAAAGGGAGCCGAGTAGGCGCCTATCTGCAGGCCGTACCGCGAGCAGGCCGCCTGCGGGATGATCTCGCCTGCACGCGTGGCGCAGGGGCACCGGGGGGGGAGGGGTGGGGCGCAGGCTACTGACCGGGGCGGTGTGGGTTGGCCGGGGAGCGCGTGGGCAGCGCTACATCGGCACCGTGGCAGCGCCGTGGCACGCAGCGCGTTCCGGCGGGCCGCCGCGCTGCGCTGCCGCCATCTCTCGCGCCCACGTGACTCCTCCAGGCCTCCCGGCTCAACCCGCTGCCTGCCTGCCTGCCCTCCCTGCCCGCACACACGCACACACGCACGCACACACGCGCGCACGCGCGCACGCGCACACACACACACACACACACACACACACACACACACACACACACACACACACATCCGGCTCACCAACTCACCAAACAGCAGCACCACTGTGACCGACACAATCACGGCGGTCACCGGGTCGGCCAGGCGGTCGAGCACCAGCGGCAGCGCCTCTGCTGCGATGGCGTTGCACACCAGCAGCGTGACCAGCAGCACGTGCGGGCGCTTGAGCATGGGGCGGATGCGCTGGGCCAGCCGCTTCTGCCGCTCAGTGCCGCTGCGGTGCAGGATCTGCGGGGCGGCGGCAGGGGCGGGGCGAGGGACGGCGGGATGCAGCGGGGCATGGTGGGCGACGGGGCAGGGGGTGGCTGGCTGCCACCCCTGCATCCCGAATTGCGCCCAGCCGCGCCCAGCCTGGCCCGCCAGCCCCCAACCCCTGGCTCCCAGCGTGCGCAGCGTGCACAGCTAGCTGCCATGCCAGCATGGCAGTGGCGCCAGGTTGCAAGGGGGATCACAAAGGGGATCGCAGGGCACAGGCAGGATCCTGTGGCGTCCAAGCACACAGGCCCCCGCAGCGCCCACCTCTATGTCCACTTGGTCCAGAGACATGAGGCCCAGCGTCAGCCCGCTCATCAGTCTGCAAGCACAGCATCGCGTCGGCGCGCACGCACACATGCGGCTGTGCATCGCTGCGCCCCCGGGATGTACGGAAGCATATGTACGCATGCACAGGAAGCATATGCTGCCGCGTATGCTGTGGCGAGCGCTCTTGGGAGCGTCGCGATCCCAGCGACATTCTGCGGCCCCCAGCCGCCCCACCCACCCCGCCATGGCCACCAGGAAGAAGGACAGCAGCAGGTAGGTCACAAACATCTCCTCGTCATCATCCTCGGCGAGCGGCGCAGGGCTGCCAGCTTGGCCGCGGTGCCTGCAAAGCGGCGGGTGCAAGAACGCAGGCGGTGGTGTCTGGGTGCGGGCCCCCAGCTGCAGCCTGGACAGCTGTGACCTCGCTGGCTCAGAACGAGGCCCCCCTCGCTACATTACGCTACATAGTGGTCCGACATAGAGCAAAAGTAGTACCAACAGGCTACAGCGGCGCAGGATGCGGTGGCGGCGGCACATGCAGCCAGCGCACGGGGCAGCGCTTGCAGGCGGTCCCAGACGACTGCCGCCGATCAGCAGCATCATCCAAGTAATCGGCAGCCTCCGCAACAGGCCTGCACATGGCTCCGCACATGCAAACTCACCGCAACCAGCTCTGGGCCTGCACGCTCCCTATGAGCAGCAGCCGGTGGGTCAAGGGAACCATGATGGACAATGCCAGCCCGTTCAGGCACAGGCCCTCCGTGAGGCTGCGCTCGGGCTTTTCCGCTTCATGCGAACACAAAGACGCACAGACGGCTGAATGTATCGATAATGAAATGCCGCAATGCAGGCACTGGCCATGCATGGAGAAATGACCATGCCAGGCTGGCTCTGCCCTGCCCGCTGCCGCCAGGCCACAAGCGCTGCTGTGCAGGGCAGAAAACATTGTCCTTTACAGAGATTACACCCCCACATCTTATACAGCCGGAGAAAGAGGGGTGGGAGTAGCTTCTGGGGTTCAATATCAGGGGATTCAAGGCATTCCGATGCCGCACAGGCACGAGCGGAGAAAACGGGGGTTATAATAACAAAATGTGGCGCCCTGGCGAGGGCAACAGGGAGTATGTGGAATGGGGAGCACGAGGCAGAGGACAGCAAAAGTGCATGACAGGGGGTTACTCGTTTGCAAAAAGAATGGTATGACGGGCACACCAGGAGAGGGAGTGGGGCGACACAGGAGGAGATCAGAGGTGCGTGGCCCCACATCCACCAGGGTACATGATGCACACGCCCGCCTGCGGGACCCTCACGCCAGCTTGCCAGCCTTGGCCGCTCCCGCGGCGGCCGCGGCGGCCGCTTGCCGGGCATGGCGCTGCTTCAGCATCGTGGGAGCCAGCGCCGCAAGGCCCATGCCGGCGCCCAGGGCCACCAGCTTGGTGCTGTACAGGTCCCCCAGTGACGTCAGGTCGCCCAGGTGGCTGCCGGCGTTCACCGCCACAATGTTGTTGGGCAGGCAGCCGAAGAGCGTGCCTGCAGGGGCCGCGCGGGGCGGCGGAGATGAGGATGTGGGCAGAGATGGCGGGAGAGTGTGCCTCGTTGCCCACCCAGGCAGCAGCCGGCACGCACAAGCACACCGCGCCCCCTGCTCACCCAGCGCAAAGGGCAGCAGCGGCACGCCGACGATGGGCGAGGCGACGTTGATGAAGGTGTTGGGCAGGATGGGCGTCAGGCGAAGAAAGACAATGTAGTTGAGGAGCTCGGAGCGGCGGGCCCCCACCTCTGCCGCGTACTTGTCCAGGCGCTCGGGCCAGAGCGCGTGCGCCAGCGGCTGTCCCAGCGCCCACGACAGGCAGTAGCAGGAGCAGGATCCCAGCGTGCTAACGGCGGCCACCAGGGCGCCGCCGCGCCACACGCCGTACAGGCCCCCCGCCAGCAGGCTCAGCATGATGGTGCCCGGGATGGCGAACGTCTGCATCAGCAGGTAGGCGCCACAGTAGCCGGCCAGCACGGCGGCGGGCGAGGCGGCGGCGTAGCCCTTGAGCACGTCCCGCTGGGCCGCCAGGTCCGGCAGGGTGCGGGGCGGAAAGGCGCGCAGCACCGCCAGCTCCTCCTCCTGCACGTGGCAGCAGCACGGCAGCGGCGGGTGGGGCAGGTGGCCGCGGGTGCCGGCGGCGCCCAGGGCAACAGCTGACCTGCTGGCGGCTCCGCTGCATCCAACGCCGCCATGCAACGCACCCTAAGTGGAGGAAGGCGCGATACGAAGCAGCGAAAGGAGGTGACCACGACCAACAGCAACGCAGCAAGAGCCAACACGCTACGCTGGGCATTGAACAGGCCACCGCCGTGCTGCTGCGCTGCTAGGGCCTCTGCTGCAGTCATGGTGGGGCGTGGGGTGCCGCCGGTGGCGGCGCTGGGCATTCGTTTTCTGCCGCTCCTGCACCACTGGCTTTGAGAGGCTGGCGGAGGAGTGTCGTGCAGGAGAGAAGAGCTGAAAGAGGAGGAGGACCAAGATGAAAATGCGGCTGCCGGAGCTCTTTGACATGCGTGCTGCGCCGCGCGCGGCCACGGCATTGCGGATGCTTGCCCTGTCCTCAGCCCACCCCAGCATCACCCGCAGTCACACGCTCGGCACGGGCAGCAAAAACAATGGAAGCAAGCTTTCGTCGATGTAAGGCTGCTCGGTGCAGCTGGACTGCTCGCGAGCCCGCCACCGCCGCCTCCTGGTGCCCGCCGCTTCGTCAGCGGTCCCACCGCTGCGCCGCCTCCTCGTGGTTCAGCAGGTCCACGATGCTCTGGATGACGGCGCCCCCCGTCTCCTCCAGCCGCGCGCCAGGCTGGCGCACCTTGCGCTCCAGCAGCGCATCCAGTGCCTGGCGCAGCCGCTTCACCAGCACCGCCGTCTGTGCGGGGGCCCTGCCACACCGGGCAGAGGCATGCAGCCTTGCGTTTCAGAGGGCTGGCGAGGGAGGAGCGTCACGCAACAGATCCCCATGTGCACATGCGGCCCAACAAAGCCCTCCACAGCGTCGAGCCGCTCCACTTCCTGCCCCACCCAGCACCCCCCACCCCGCCCCGCACCTGATGCGCAGCCAGCCGTCCACCTGCACATAGCTGGAGTCGTGGGCCACCGCCAGCGCGCCGCCAAACAGCAGGATGGCGGCGGGGCTGGCCACTGTGCAGTCGCGGATGAAGGTGCGGGTGGTGCGCACCTGGGGGCCGGGCAGGCAGGCAGCCAGGCAGGCAGGCAGGCGGGCAGAGTCGGCATCAGCACACGCAGCTGTCGACGGCGAGCAGCCATGCACCGTCGAGGCTCAGCCGCAGCACGGGTGTGCCAGCGCCGGCACCTCCACGCAGGTTGCTGCAGTACCACGGTACCTTCTCCAAGTACACCAGGTAGGGGCGCTGGTACTGCTGCGCCTCCACCATGTGGCAGATGCTGGACGGGTGTACCGCCACCTCGCCCGCCCCGTCGTGCCACCCCGGCCGCTTGCCTGCAGCCACAGACCCAGGCGGCGGGCTGTGTCGCGCCCGGCGGCTCGCGGCGTGCATGCAGCTGGCTGGCTGGCTGCCGCACGTATCGCCCTCCAGCCTGGCGCGGCCGGGGAGGGGCGCCGCATCGTGCCAGCACACGCCACACACGTGCTGCATCACCGAGCGCCCGCCCTCCACGTCACGCCCACCTGGCGCCGCCTCGTCATCCATCACCGCCACGTTGGGGTACAGCGCAGCCAGCAGCACGGCCTTGACCACAGCTGCAGCAGCGGGGAGAGGGCGGGAGGAGGGCAGGCAGAGGGAGGAGGTGGAGGCTGGGGGTGAAGAGCAGCACGCACTAGAGCGCCTGCCTGCCGCCTGCCTGCCTGGCCTTATATAAATGCCCACAGGCTCTCCCCGAACACAGCCCAGCACCGGCCCAGCAGGCCAGCCCGGCAGGCCAGCCCGCGCCTGGGTGCGAGGCGTAGCGGTTGAACGCCGCGCCGCGCTCGTCCATCCAGGCCCGCCCGCCGCCGCGCCCCGGCCCCGCCACAAATCCGATGTCTGCCAGCATGCAGGCGTACTGCCACCGCATGTCGGCCAGCATGTCAAGCGCCTGCTCGGACAGGAAGTGGCGGCGGCTGTAGTCGCGGGCGCCTGCACGCGCAAGCGGCACAAAGTAGTGGAGCTCGGCAAGGCACCAGGGCACCAGGCACACATGGCCGCAGGGTATCACCTACGCAGGGAAGCACCTGCTGATACCTAGGTGCCTCCCTGGCGCAGATCCTGCCAAGCTCGACCCACCGCTACGGGTCAGGCAACACACGCCACCGCCACCAGCCCAGCAGCAGGCGCCCAGCGGCCCACCAACCTTTGTGGGCCCCCACTCGCCGTGCCGCCAGCCAGCCATCCATGGCCGCCACCATGAGAAGATGGTCGCTCTGCTGGCCGGCGGCGATGGTACCGCTGGTGGGGGCGGCCAGCGCGGCCCTGGCGCGGTCGGCGGCGTCCTGCTGGGCACCTGCCGAGAAGGGGGACTTGTAGGAGAGGCAGGCTGCGATGGTGAGGGCGGGGGCCAGGCAGCCCAGCGAGGCGCTCAGCAGCAGCAGCTTGCCGATGCGGGCGTCCACGGGCAGCGACGCCAGGTGGTGGCCTGTGGGCCAGGGGAAGGGAGGCGAGGTGGGGGCAAGGGGTGGGGGGAGCTGAGCTGTCGGGACTGGAGGGGGGAGGCCTGGAGCGGGCCCCTTCCACGGCCAGCAACGTGCTCTCAGGAGCAGGCGTGGCTGGGGTGCGATCGACGCCAGCCCCACTGATGCCAGGGATGCTGCGCGGCACGCCCGCGGGCAGGAGGCAGGGGCCAGCCGGCTGCCTGGCGGTGGTGCATGTGCTCACCCAGCGGCGTCAGCTCCTCCCCCGCAGTCAGCGCCCCCACCTCCTGCAGAGTGCGGATGGCGCCCGCCACAGACTTGTCTGGCGGGGGCTGCACAGCAGGAGAAAGAAAGGGGACCGGCGCTGACGGGTGGGTTGCTAAGTGGAGGAGGTGGCGGGGAGGCGGCGGGGAAGGCGAGCGGGCACGGCATGGCCCAGGCATGCACCGCTGGCGGGTCGGGTGCCCGGCACGCCCCCACCACACCTGCAGCACTCTGGCCAGGAAGGAGCCTGCCTTGCCCAGCGCCAGCAGGTGGATCTGCAGCACCAGCTCCTCAAGGGGCACCCGCACCATCTCGGGAGCCTGCGGGGCGTGACGATGGGTGGGTGGGAGATCAGTGGCATCATGCGTGCATCAGCAGGAGGCGCATGCAATGCACACCTCCAAACGCCTGCTGGCAGCACGGGGGTTGCATGCAAACATCCCCTCCCAGCACGCGATGCCCCCCACCTGGTACCGCCGCATGCGGTGCTCGAACCGGCTGCGGGTGTAGAGGCCGTAGCAGACGCCAGGGCGCACGCGGCCTGCGCGTCCCCGCCGCTGCTTGGCTGCACAGGCACGGGGAGGCGGGCAGGTGGGGCACGTGCTGCCGTCAGGCGGCGCAGGCGACGCAGCACGGCAGGACTTGCAGCCCGCCACCAGCAGCCCTGTGCAGGCCCAGCCAGTAGCATGCCCTGCCTCCCTGCCTGCCATTGCTTTCCGGCCAGCCAGCCCGTCCTACTACCAGGACCACCCCCTCCCTTGCCTGACGCTGCAGACACCCAGTCCTCCACCAGCAGCGACATGCCGCGGGACGCATCGTACCGCCTCTCTTTGAGCTTGCCTGCACCGCGGGGCAGGCGGGCAGCAGCGTGCAGGGAGGATGGTCAGCCGGTGGCACCGTGAGCGGCGCCCCGGCATGAGGGCGCATGCCGCGGAGACCGAATGCGCTGCTGCCTGGCGCCCCCAGAAAATCGCACACAGGCACTACACGCATCCCACTCTAGCCCTGAGCCCCCAGCCCCCCAAAAGCAGAGAGAAGAGGGGCAAGAATGTGAGAAGAGGGGCAGCCCTGCCACCCACCTGCGTCCACCACATACACCACATCTTCGATAGTCAGGCTCGTCTCAGCGATGTTGGTGGCCAGAACCACCTTGCGCACGCCTGGCGGTGGCACGCGGAACGCCTGCCGCTGCTCGCTGCGGGAGGCCAGAGGCGGGAGGTGCGTGGGGAGGGAGGCAGGGCGGGGTGGTGGGGGTGGGCGCTGGAGGTGCATGCTGTGAACCGCAGCGTGGCACAGCATGGCTCAGCGTGGCCGGCAGCGGCCGCCAGGCGGGCAGCGGCACGCAGCCTCCCGGCCGGGCAGCAGGCGGGCGGCGACCTGGGGGAGACTGTTGAGTGCAGCGGGATGACCCAGGCGCTGCTGGCGGCAAAGCGGCGCGAGGCGCACAGGCGGCTGTGCAGCTCCTGTATCTCCCCCATGCCTGCAGCAGCAGCAGCAGCAGGACCAAGCCCAGCGTGAGGCTCAGGCACGCACACGCAGGCAGTGATGCGAGGCGCCTTGGACTGAAGGGGGCGAGCAGTAGCATCCATCGGGGCCGGCGAGCTGCCATGCCCCTCCATCCGGCACAGCACAGCACAGCACAGCACAGCACAGCACAGCACAGCACAGCACAGCACAGTACAGCACACACAGCCCAGGCCGTGCACCCACCCGGCAGGAACACCAGCACGGCTCCCTCCCGCCCCGCCTGGCTCTCGTCGATGTGTGCCACCAGCTGCTCCAGCAGCTCAAAGTCCAGGCGGTCCTCATCCAGCACAGACAGGTTGCGCACCACGCTGGGGCTGCAGCAGGAGGAGTGTGTGTGTGTGTGTGTGTGTGTGTGTGTGTGTACTTGTGTGTGTATGTGCATGTGAAGGTGTGGTGGTGGGGCGGATGGCGGGGGGGCGGGGCAAAGGGAGGCGGGGAGGCACTGGCTGCGCTTGGCACGGTGCACAGCGGCGGCGAGTGGCAACATTGACGGCCAGCTGAGGGCGCCGCGTGGGGCGCTGCCTGGCTGCACCTGTATCCCGCCAGCTCCTCCCGCTTGAAGTGGGGGTTGAGGGGGCCGGCGTCTGCCAGGGCGTCGCCCCACCCGGCCTGCACCGCCCGCAGGTTCTTGGACCCCGCGGTCTGGGCCACCCGCCGCTGAGCGCGGCGGTCGTACTGGGGGCGCAGCGCCGCCGGGGAGTCGGCGTCAAGCACGTAGCCTGTGGGTGCGTGGGTGGCAGCACATGCGCAAGTTGCTGCAGCAGCAGTAGAAGTAGCAGCAGCAGCAAGCAGGAGGAGGAGCTTGCCCTGCGTGCCACGGCTTGGGGCATCCACCCTCTAGCCCTACCCACCACCCACCCGTCTCCTGGTAACAATCCTCCAGGAACTTCTGCTCGACGGGGAAGGTGCGGCCCTGCAGTACCACAGGCAGTACCACGCACACAGCCAGACCTCACCACAAGCGACGCCTGCCGCTGCTGAGGACCCCACAAGGGCCCACATGCCAGCCGGCACACACAGGACTGAGAGGCAGGCACCGGCCGTTGGCTGGGCCAGTGCCCCTTGCCACCGAGGGAAGGTGGCAGGGCCATGCAGAGCCCAGTCTACCGCAACCAGCACCCCACCTGCGCGTGCAGCACGGGGCAGGCCCCAAAGTAGTCGGCAAACAGGGCGCTGTCCAGGGTGGCGGACATGAGGACGACCTTGAGGTGGCGCCCCGCGGCGCGCCGCACGGCCGCCAGGTCCCGCAGCAGCGCCATCAGGAAGTCGCCTGCGCTGGGGGTTTAGGGTGGGTGGTGCGCGTGTGATGGTGGGGAAAGTGGGCAGGTGGAAGTGTGAGTGCGGTGGCGGGGAGGGTGGGCGGGTGGGGGCGTGAGCATGGGGGTGGTGGGAGGTGGGGTGAAGGGTTGGACGGAGGCCCGATGATTCATGCCTGAGCCTTGGCGGGGCCTTGGCATGCAGCCAGCCAGCGCATGCACAGGCTCCACAGCCAGGCACAGGCGGCCCGCCCAGCCGCCGCCGCGCCCGCCCAGGCGGCGCCGCCGCACCCTGCAGCGTGCGCTCATGCACCTCGTCCACCAGCACGTGGCTGACCCCCAGCAGCGCGGGGTCGCCCGCCAGGCGGCGCAGCAGGATGCCGGTGGTGCAGAACAGCAGGCGGGTGTCGCGAGTGGCGGCAGAGTCCAAGCGCACGTGGTATCCCACCTGGTATGTGGGTGGGTGTGGGTGGGTG